TTGCCCTGCGGAGCTCTGAGCAGGTTGCCCCGCTGGACGTTGAGCTGCCACTGATGCGGCAGGTGCCAGCGAGCTCGCCGCCGATATGGCAGCGCCAGCAGTTCCCCTTGGCTTGGCCTCCGAGGAGTTCCTGTCGGGGTACTGATGTCGAAATCCTGACGTGTATTTTCCTTGATGTTGTACGACTCGACTGTCTTATCTCTGGGGGCCATCCTGGCGCCTTCGATGAAGTTGCCAGTATCTTTTCAATACCGCGTCTCGTTGAAGAAGCATCCCTTGTTCGTCCTTCCAGCGCCGGCACCCATCCTGTCCTTTGCGCCCGACCTGGTGCGGGGCCGCGACGTGGCACAGGCTCCCTTGGAGTAGGGGCACTGGCGCCCTGAAATGCAGCTGCAGCGGCAGCCGCTGCTGGTCCTCTGGATCGTTGTCGGCCAGCAGGTTTCCCAGCAGATCGCTGCTGTTTGCCGTCTCCAGGGTTAGGATCATCTGGGCTCTTCCTCTCATTTCTTTTAAGTCTAAACTGATCAGGACCAAGCGATGGACTTCATGCATCCGAAGATGGAGGAATGTAGATGATCGCCTCTGGCATCGGCTTAGGAGTTGCCTTAGCCGTGGCCCCTGCCGGTGTCGCTGGCCCTTGACGCAAGGGACCTCGGTCAGGGTTCAAATCGCGATCATCTGGTGACCTGAGGGCCATGTTCTTAATGATGGTATTTTGTTTACCTGTGAGAAGGCATGTAGTAGCGCTGCGTGTTTCGACTATGCTTGCCTCTATCCAGCCTGCACCTTGAGCGCGGTAAGCAATCCGCCTCTCAGGGGAGAGATCCGTCTTCTCAGTAACAACGTACCTGGGATTGGTCGGAGCATTCGTCTGACACGTGGCGCCCGCGATACCCGAATCGTCCGACGCCTACCCTTCAGGGGCCGCGTCCGTGGGATCAACTTCTTCAGCAATCTCATCATCTTCATCTTCATCAGCATCTTGTCGATCTTCTTCTTATGATTTGTAATTCGCAGGTTTCCTGCGTGCCAGTCGCGATTGAACTGCGCCAAATAGTGAGTGGGTATGAAAATTTCCCATCTGAGGTAGGTGCGGGCTATTTCATCAGCTGCGGCGTGATCGTAGTCGCTCTCTGTCAGCTGCTCCTCATGTGGCGTTGCAGTGGGGTCGGTGCAGTGACCCCGACCATCACCATGAGACCAAACCCACGGTGTCCTCTTAAAGCTCGGGGTTCTTGATGGGCGTCTCATGGGGCAGCCGAGCCTGTGGTCAGCAAATTCGGGGCATGAGCAACAGACGCCTCTGCAGAGTTTCCCTCCACCGGCAGTGACCCCCCTGGTTTTCGAAAGGGGGGGGGCATCGAACCGGCAGCGACCCCCCCCCCCCCCCTCCTTTTCATGATGGACCGATGGGGGGGGAGGGGGGGGGTTCGAGACGGCAATGCACCCCCCTCGGTTTTCCGGAGGGGGGGGGGGTCGAACCGGCAGTGGCCCCCCCCGGTTTTCCGCCAGCAGCGGTAGAACGCGCTCTTTCTCACCTTTGCCTCGACCTTTGCCATTACCTTTAAGTGGTCGTCGTGCGATACGCCTCACCTTTCGGACTGGTTTCTTCATGGATCTCAGCCAGCGACGCTTGTGTTTTTGATAGCCAAAAAATAGCCATTGAGTTTGTTGCTCTTCAGTAAGGTATGTAGGCATATCAGAGCAATCAAAGGCGGTAGCTTCGTCATCTGAAGATGCATATGTATCAGTGCCGGAACCGAAGTCGGACTCGGCGGGTTGCCCCGCTGAGCCCAGTAGGGTCATGGCTTGCACGGGGGAGACCGCGTCGGGCGGTCCCCGAAGCCTGGCCCGGGAGCCTTGCGACCCCGAGGCCGTTCCACCATTCTGAGCTAACAGTGCAGTGGTCTCAATTGTTTGTGGATCATCATTCCAAACGTCGTTGGCAGGCTGCCCTGCGCTAGCCTCCACATGGAACGTCTCGGTTCGGGGACCGTGAGTGAAGATGCCGCCAATGTTGCCGGGGTTCTCTCAGCAATGTGAGCATCTGACCTCATGCGTTCAAGTAGAGCGTCAAATTGTTGTTGGTCTCTCGGCATATGGTGGTTTAGAGGCAGCAGGAGTTGTTGTGCACGCGATGTCCCCACCCCAAAGGCTCTGAATCGAATCGCTGCTCGGATTTGGAAGTTGGGGATGTTGAAGCCGGCTGTTTCAGCTTTGTAGCGGGCTATCTCAAACCGTGCTAACGTCTGGTCGATACGTTCGCCCGCGCGGTCTCGGAAATCAATGAGAGTCGGACCAGAGTTGAGTTGGCGCTCCTCTTCTAAGTTCTCGAACTTCGTGCTTAAGAGGAAAATGATGTAGGTGACGCCGTCTGTGTGGCGGCCACCTGTGTTGACGCCAAAATTAATAACTGCTGAAGGGACTCTCATGGCTATGGTCCGTGCGAGACCTCCCAAACCTCGTTGCAAAGCTGCAGCCTGCTGGGAAGGGCGTCGCATTGCCTGTGGTCGTCACATTGATCCAGGCATATACTTCGCGGACGAATTCGCGAAAAGGTGCGCGACCGGCTGGGTCCCAATGAGGGCGGTCGTTCTCGTGTCGTCTCCGCCACGCATATGTCCTACCGCACACCCGATAGCGACCCATGTCAGCCCAAATATAGCTACACCAATCCAATGGCCTTATAGGTCGTAGACGGATGTAGTCGGTTGGGACTTCCGTTGAGTAGTCGTAAGTCTGCGCGGGGTCGAAAGCGGCAGTATTTCGTATCGCATGTTTCCATGCATTATATCTTCGAAGATTGGAGTAGGTGCGTGGACTTCAGGAGTGTAGAAGCGCAGGGAGGTAGGATGTAGGTAAGAGACCTCCGCTTGAACTGAGGTATCGTTGCAAGTGTCCTTGCGGTACTGCGTAGCTATGTACATCCCTCCGCACAAACCCATTGCACCATGTTCCACCATGTCCGTAATCCACCAGATAGTGAAGTGGATGGTGAGGAGTAGAGCAAGAGCTGACCACCATAGGCCAGCTCCGCTACCAAGTTTGAAGGGGCTGGGAGGCCCAGCCAGCAGCTTCGCCCTAGGCGAAGCCAAGCTCCAACTCTGTTGTACCGTAGTAACGATAGTCCCAGTAGGAGAGGATGTGCCATCTTAAGCAATAGGAAGATCCTTTTGGTCTCGATAACGATTGTGTGCCTCGCAGTGAAGCACAGTCATATTTGGGCGGCCGGCCGCTTGAACCGACGCGGCCGCGGGCGCACGCTCGCTTCCACTCCTTACGTCCCCTTTAGAGTCAAGAAGCCTCTAAGAAGCCCCAGCAAGCACCGAAGAAACTTAACATAGGCCCTAAATGGCCACCAAGAGCCCCGCGAGAGGCTCCAAGACACCCAAAACTGGCTCCAAGTGGCTTCCGAAAGGCCCCCCAGAGATTGAAAGCTTCAATTTCCAAACGCGTACCAGTGAGCAGGGCTCACCCCCGCTTCCAGGAGGGCGCAGAGGACGAGGAGAGGGAGAAGGAGGAGGCTGAGAGGAGGAAGGCGAAAACGGGATTGATCGGAGGGGGAAGGGGAGGGGAGCATCGGCAATACTAGGAGCAATGGGCGGGCAGAGGGAGGGGGACGGCGCGTGGAAGAAACGCTGCAGCGGAACACAAAGGATAGGGAAATGTGAGGAGGAAGAGGAAGGAGAACGTGGAGCAGTGCCAGAGAGGATAGACAGGGAAAGGATGGGGAGGCGGAGTGACCAGCCGCCTGAAACTCTGAGAGACAGGATTGGACGGAGAGGGAGTTTTCAGGGGAAGGATACGTGGTGCAGGAGGGCGAAGGGCGGCATAGGTATAGACGGGGGCGGCATGAGGAATAGCTAGCTCGCGCTTGTGCTCCACAGCTCATGCAAGCAGCCAGCGCGGTAGTGTTTGTGAAAAGGCCAGCCCCGACCGAGCCCAGAAAGGTCACTGGCACACATTGGCACCTGCGAGTGGCACGGCTCGGTGCTATGAGATGTTGTCCCCAAACAGCCCCAAGATGGCCCCAAGAGGGAGTAAACAAGGGGGAACACGAGCTGGCAGCTAGAGCCCTCCACCCCAAGATGGCCCCAAGATCCCCACCAGAGGCCCCCGAGGCGCCCCCAAGAGGCCTCCAGGAGGCCCACCAAATGCTTCGAAGAGGCTCCAAGAGGCCTCCGAGGAGCCCCCAAGATCCCTTCAAGAGGCCCCCCGAGAGGCTTTCCTACGATATTCCCATATGTATCCAAAAGGCCCCTGACCCACAATGTTGGCACGGTGGAGGGATGGGCCGAAGGCCACTCTCTGTGCCTCTTTCTCGCACAGATTTATATTGATGCATACATACACACATAGTTGTGTACATATGTGTGTGAGAACAAATGAATGTATATAATGGATGCATATCTGTAAGTGTATATATATATGCAAGTGAGAACGGATATATATATATATATATATAGAGGGAGGGACATATAACATATATTTACATAACATGAGAAAGTGGGCGAGAGAGTGTGTGCGATAGGGAGAGAGAGAGAGAGAGAGAGAGAACGAGAAAGAGAGAGAGAGAGAGAAAGAGAGAGCGAGCATGTATGCACTTACATCTAAAGATAAAGAGAGGGAGAGAGAGAGAGAGAGAGAGAAACAAAAAAGAGAGATGAGGAACATTGGATTTTGACCAGCGATGCCGCAGTAACGTGAGGACGGTCGCTAGAGGATGGAGCTAGGATGAGGAAAAAAACAGGAGGAGCAGGCGAGAGACGCCATTGCACTCGCCCTCCTCTTTCCCTTGCTTTCTCCCGCCCATCCTCCTTCCTCTCAAATTCGCGTCCCTCTCCTTCACCGCCAAACGTCTCCACCACGACGCTGGGTCGGTCGACGCTGCGACCTGGCCTCGAGCAACTGGGAGGCTGCAGCGCGACAGAAAATTGCCCCCCCCCCCCACACCACCACAAGGGCGGGGCCCGGAAGACGAGAGGGGGCCAACAGATCTCCTGGCAGTTGTTCCACCCGTCCAGGGGCTCGGGGAAGATGGTCAATGCCATGACAATGGTGTTCAGGACGATGCAGCCCATGATGGTGTTGTCAAACGTCTGCGGGAGATTGAGGAGGAGACGGAGGGCACGTAACTTGATCGATTGCGCTCAAAAAACTAGCTGGGGAAGTATCGCAACGGATGCATGTATCTCGGCACCTTCACTGATTCATCTGGCTAACCGGGTACAAGTTACTGTCGTGACATCTGGCCCAGCAGACGCACAACAAACACTATCATAGTAGTCACCTGGGACTCCTCCTCCTCTGCCTCCTCCTCCTCCTCCTCCTCCTCCTCTTCCTCCTCCTCCTCCTCTTCCTCCCCCGCCCTCCGCGAGCCCGCTCATCGCCAAAGTCCAGCACAGCCCTAAATCCCAACATATCCTTTTGTACTCCCCAAGGGCAGCTGACAAAACAACTCCCTCTGCACCAATTTCTTTGGAAGCGCGGCTCCTTGCTGGAGATCACTTTGTACACGGCAAGTCTGCAGGGGTGCACCCGATCCAGATTCTTGAGGCTGAAGTGAATGCGCTCCTGGCCCAGCAGGGTGGGCGGGGGCAGGAGGGAAAGGGAAGACGAGAAGAGCAAGGATGTAGGTAGGTATGTGGAAGTGGGGAAGGAGGGGAGGAGGATCCTTTTGAGGCTGCAATGGGCGCTCTGCTGCCCTTGAATGGTGGAAGGAGGGAGAGGGTGATGAGTCACGACGAGAAGATAACGATACCGATGTTCCCTCTATCTCCTCCGTTTCCTTCTCCCTTCAGTTATGCGGCCTCCCTTCTCCGCCTCCTCCTCCTCCACCTTCTTCACCCCCCTGGGGGCGGGGGAGAAGCGGGAGTAAGAGCAGGATCACGAAAATGGGGATGATGAGAGAGGGGGGGGGGAAAGAGGCGGGAGGGCGGGAGGATGGGAGCGAGCAAGCAGAGGCCAGAATGGATGAGGATGAGGGGTATGGGGATGGGGGAGGGAGTGTGTGACACGGGGGAGCGGCAAGGAAGCAGAGGATGCACAGGAGGGGAGAATGGAAGGGACGTGGGGCGACAGCGAGGCGAAGGAGGGATGAGCTCATGCCATGAGCAAGATGTCTTAGAATCCTGTCAGAAGCGTCGTACGGCCAATCCAGATGTCTTCACACTTTCATATCTCCAAGGAGCACTTGCTGAACTGGCAATTAATTGTTCTAGGCGGGGTATGTACCTGCCAGAAAGCATCGGATAACCCACTGCCCAAAACTCCTTGCCACGCGAGCCATTTCCCCGTCGGCAAGGGATGCTACCAGCACGTTCCTAGTCCTCGTCGCGAGTGTGGCGGGAACCACCTCTTCTTCGCAGGGCGCAGCAATGTCCCTACGCCGCGGCCTGGGCGTGTCACCACCGACCACTCGCGCGACAGTACGTGAGTTCACTGCTGCACAGCGGGCCGAACATTGCACCTGACACGCTCATTGACAATACTCATTGTCTGCCTTCGAGGCCACTTGCCACACAAGTTTCGCCGAAGTGGGTACGAGGACCCAGCCTCTAATGTCTTGCATGCGCTCGAGTTCTATGGTGACCAGCATGGAACCGTCGAACAATGCAGGAAGGCGAAACGTCGAGATCTTCGCCCTTCAAACTTCCGGCTCGCGACCTTGTCTTGGGCACGTAAGATCCGCGTGCCTTCGCATTATGTCTCTATCTCCTCATCGTCTCCCGTGTGCCAGCCGAACATCTGGATGGCACTGCCTTCTTTCGCATAAAGTAGGTGTACCTGTTCTGAACCACGGCACCCTTGCATCGGTTGCTCTGTGCCTCGGCTCTCGTCTTCTGCAGTGCACTGCACCTCGGGCCACCTCTAGATCCTTCCCTTGCGGTGAACGGAGAGAGAAAATGGGCAGGGGTCGGAAGGGCGGAAGAGGAGGAGGCGGAGGAGGAGGAAGAAGGGATTATACCGATAGGACCACCCTACCTATACGACCACCCTTCGGGTGACAAGGAGATTCGGGGGGGGGGAGGAACCAACGTCTCACTCGATCGGTCTCACTATCGATCTCACTATCGATCTCAGTATCGGTCTCGCTCGATCGATCTCCCTCGATCGATCTCACAATCGATCTCACTCGATCTATCTCACAATTGATTTGACTATCGATCTCACAATCGATCTCACAATCGATCTCACAATCGATATCACATTCGGTCTCACTATCGATTTCACTATCGATATCACAACCGCTCTCACAATCAACGCCATCATCATCATCAACAACAACATCAACATCAACATCATCATCACCAACATCATCATAATCGGGACACCGTCCTCATCATCAACACCAACATCATCATCATCACGGTCATCAACATCATCGGGACACCACCATCATCATCATCACCATCATCACAATCATCATCATCAACATCATCATCATCATCAGCAGCATCGGGACACAGCCATCGTCATCATCATCATCATCATCAGCAGCAGCATCATCATCGGGACACCATCATGATCACCATCGTTAGCATCATCATCATCATCATCATCATCATCATCATCATCATCGGAACACCATCATCATCATCTCATCCTCATCA